GAAGAAAAGACCAAAATGGATGTCAGAAGAGACTTTTAAACTTGCCCTTGAACAAAGAGTAGCTAAAGCAAATAGAAGAAATTACAAGATAAAAGAGCTGAACAGATTTCAAAGAGCAGCTTGAGCAGACAAAGCCAATTACTATAATGAAATGTACAAAGACCTGGAGTTAGAAAACCAAAAGGGAAGAACACGCTTAGCATTTCTCAAGCTGAAAGAACTGAGGAAAAAATTTAAGCCTCAAGTTGCAGTATTGAAAGATTCTATGGGCAAAATTCTGAATGATGCAAGAAGCGTCAAAAGAAGATGGAAGGAATACACAGAGTCACTGTACCAAAAAGAACTAGCTGACCTTCATCCATTTCAGGAGGTGGCATATATTCAAGAACCAATAGTATTGAAGGAATAAGTCATAGCTGCACTGAAGGAATTGGCATAAAACAAGGCTCCAGGAATTGAGGGAATACCCATTGAGATGTTTCAACAAACAGATGCCCCACTGGAGGCACTTACTCGGTTATGCCAAGAGATTTGGAAGACAGCTACCTGGCCAAATGACTGGAAGAGATCCATATCTGTACCCATTCCAGAAAAAGGTAATCCCACAGAATGTGGAAATTATCAAATATCATTAATATCGCACGCAAGTAATATCTTACTGAAGATAATTCAAAAATGGTTACAGCAGTATATTGACAGAGAACTCCCAGAGGTGCAAGCTGGATTCAGAAAAAAACACTGAACAAGGGATATCATTGCTTATGTCAGATGGATCTTGGCTCAAAGCATAGAATACCAGAAAGATATTTGTGTTTTACTGACTATGCAAAAGCATTTGATTGTGTGGATCATAACAAATTGTAGATAACACTGAGAAGAGGAATTCCTGAACACTTAATTGTACTCATGAGGAACCTGTACAATGACCAGGAGGCTGTTGTTTGGACAGAACAGGGGACAATACATGGTTTAAAATGAAGAAGGGAGTGCATCAGGGTCATATCCTTTCCCCATACTTATTCAATTTATATGCTGAGCAAATAATCCGAGAAGTAGGACTCTATGAAGAAGAACATGGCATCAGGATTGGTGGAAGACTCATTAACAACCTGCAATATGCTGATAACACAACTTTGCTTGGTGAAAGTGAGGATGACTTGAAGCACTTACTGATGAAGATTCAAGAATACAGTCTGCAGTAGGGATTACATCTCAATATGAAGACAACAAAAATCCTCACAACTTGACCTATAAACTGCATAACAATAAATGGAGAAATGACTAAAATTGACAAAGACTTTACATTGCTCGGTTCTACAATTGATGCCAATGGAAGCAGCAGTCAGGACATTAGATGACGTGTAGCACTGGGCAGGTCGGCTGCAAAGGAACTCTTTCAAGTGCTGAGGAGCAAAGATGTCTCCTTAAGGACTAAGGTGTGCCTGACATAAGCCCTGTTTTCAATTGCCTCATATGCATGTGAGAGTTGGACAATGAATAAGGAAGATCAAAGAAGAATTGATGCTTCTGAGCTGTGGTGCTGGTGAAGAATGCTGAAAGCACCATGGACTGCTAAAAGATCTAACAAATCGATCCTGGAAGAAGTGCAGTTGGAATGCTCCTTGGAAGTGAGAATGGCCAGACTTTGTCTCACCTACTTTGGTCATGTTATCAGAAGGGACCATTCCCTGGAGAAGGATGTCATGCTTGGTAAGGTGGAGGGCCGACAAAAGAGGGGAAGGCCCTCAACGAGATGGATTGACACAGTGACTATGGTGATGGACTCAAGTATAGCAAGGATTGTGGAGCTGGCATGGGACTGGGTGGTATTTTGTTCTGCTGTGCATAGGGTCGCTATGAGGTGGAGAGGACTTGATGGTACCTAATAACAAGAACAACATATAAGGAAGACCAATTAATACTACTATTGTTCAAATTTACACACCAGCCACTTACACCAGAGATAAAAAAATTAAAGATTTTTACCAACTTCTGCAGTCTGACATTGGCCAAACATGTTATCAAGATGTGTTGATTATTAGTGGTGATTGGAATATGAAAGTTGGAAACAAAGATTGGCAGTTGGAAAATGTGGCCTTGGTAATAGAAATGACATTGGAGATTGCATGATAGAATTCTGCAAAACCAACTTATTCATTGCAATACCTATTTCAACAATATAAACAGCTATACACGTGGACCTCACCAGAAGCAATACACAAGAATCAGATGGACCAATTTGTGGAAAGAGGCAATGGAGAAGCTCACTATTTTCAGGCAAAACAAGGCCAGAAGCTGATTGTGGAACAGACCATCAATTGACCATATGCAAGTTCAAGGTGAAGCTGAAGAAAATTAAAACAAGTTCACAAGAGCCAATATGACCTCGATTATATCCCACCCGAATTTAAAGACCATCTGAAGAACAGATTTCATGCTTAACACCAATGACCAAAAACTAGGCAAGTTGTAGGATGATATCAAGAACATCATCCATGAAGAAAGCAAAAGGTCATTAAAAAGACAGGAAAGCAAGAAAAGACCAAAATGGATGTCAGAAGAGACTCTGAAACTTCTCTTGAACAAAGAGTAGCTAAAGCAAATGGAAGAGTTGACAAGATAAAAGAGCTGAACTGAAGATTTCAAAGAGCAGCTTGAGAAGACAAAGTCAATTATTATAATGAAATGTGCAAAGACCTGGAATTAGAAAAACAAAAGGGAAGAACAGGCTTGGCACTTCCCAGGTTGAAAGAATTGAAGAAAAAATTCAAGCCTTGAGTTGCAGTATTTCTCATACCAGTAACATCTCTTACCACTCTTCCCTCTTACTCATAATGTCTTGGTGGTCTTCTCTTCTCAGAACAAACCAAACTCTTTCCCACATCAGGAGCTTTGTACTTGCTGTTTCCTTTGTTTATAATACATCTCACCAGCCTTTCTTACCTAGCTGGTTCCTGCTCAGCAAATAGGCTTCAGCTCTAACGTCATCTCTTCAGAGAGGGCCCTGACCTATCGAAAGTAGTCACTTAACCCCCTAATAACCCTCTGTCCTATCATCTTATATATTTCCAAAGATAAGAGCTCTGATTTTCCTATTTATATGTTCACTTGTTATCATCTGTCCCTCTCACCAGAATGTAAGCTGCGAAAGAGCAGGGTCCTTGTGTATCTTTTAACTGCTATGTTCTTAATGTCCTGATAGACTCAGTAGATTCTCCAATATTTTTTGAATAAATAAATGGGTTATTTCTGAGTTTATTTTTTATAAAATGAAATGTGGACAAAAAATTAATACTCTAGTTTTCCTTGGTAGTTAAAATATTTTCAAACATCAAAGTAAAACATCAAACATTTTAAAAGTTAATTCCATTTTGCTTTACAAATACACTCCTTTTAATCTTCACATTAGATTTAACTGTGTATCAGGAGTAAGACTACTTACATGTTTATGGAGTAAAATCAATAATAATTTATTATTTTTAAATGTAAAAATGTATTTATTCACAATCCTTGAGAAGTTACCATTCCTTCAAAAAATTCTTTATGAACAAAATGCCAAGAAAAATTACAATAGTAGCTTATGCCAAACCAAAAATATACATCTGGTGTATACAAACTTTAAAAAGCATAACACAGGCAATGTGAATGTAAATTAGCTTTAAAATATTTCCAATGACACAACTACAATTTAAATTAGGTAAGGAGAGACATAAATATTAGCATTACCTAATGTATTATATTCACATATTTAGGCCACATGATTTTTTTTTACTTTTTTAAGTACAGCAAGAACTTTTACGTTACTATTTATATCTGGACCTTCCTATATTGTTGAGGACATGCACTGCCACAGTTGCCAGAAAAAGGATAAAACACTAGGAAAAACCAAAAACCAAATGAAACAAATGAAAACAAAAACTGTTAGCTTACTAACATCATACTCAATCCTCAGCAAAATCAAGAAAAGGAATCGTGTTAGGGAGTCTTTTGTCCTTGGCCTTTTAACTTGATACATGAACTTTAGGGAAAGGAAGAGGTAATTTTATATCACAAAATGCAGTTATATATATCAATATACTCAGTTCCATCTCATTAAAGCACCTTGTATTACACACAGACAAAGGAAAGCTTAATAAAAATCAATGCATCCTTTCCTATCAGAAAGGATTTTATTTAGTTTGAAATACCCGTATTACCACTCTTTAGATTTTACTTTCCTAATAAATCATGCACAGAGAATATGTTCCGTATAAAATCTTTCTGAGATCATTCATTGGAACTGTGGAATTTAAAAAAAAAAAAAAACAGAAATTTAATATATCAATTGAAGTCAATATTCATTTATGCAACCCAAACGAAACTCACTGCCATCGAGTCGAATCTGACTCATAGCGACCCCTCCTTGGGTTTCCGAGGTGGTATCACTATGGAAGTAGATTGCCCAACCTTCCTTCTGAGGAGTGGCTCGTGGGCTTGAACTGTCAGCTTTCCGGTTAGCAGTCAAATGCCTTAGGCACTACGCCACCAGAGCTCCTGTATTCATTTATAGTAGCATGTAAAATGAAGTAAAAAAATCTAAGGTATTTTCTTAAATATTATTTTTTGATTATTACCTACTTTAAACACCTAAACCCTGAAGGACTATTTCTATATTACCCTTTTTTTTCAGATTGAATCATCATTATGCTATTAGGATATACAGTAAGTGTAGAAATAAAATGATGCTTGAGCAGTTCTTTAGGGTCATCTACTCAACTTAATTGTGCTTACTATCAGACAGGAAAATTCAAATAAGTCACTGAAATTTGGAAAAGGAAATGCTATTCTAAATCTGAATCAGCAATCCTCCCTCATGCTCCCTTCACATCTGCTGAGAAATTAAAAAAAAAAAAAAAAGCCTTATGTTTAATTTTAGGTTTAAAACATTCAAAGTAAAATTAATGAAACTATTTTTAAAAGCGAAAATCTGTAATAGTAGGCAGGAATGTGATAAAACAGAGCTTGAAAAGCAGAAGGCAGATGATGAAATTGCACTTAATTCTGAAGCAATTCAGATATATCCTATCATTTCTACTCCTTTCCAATAAGCATTTACAACATGGTTTCTTACTTCCCCCTTACAAAAAGGCTCAGCACAACCATTTATACATTCTCGTTGAGTTTTAACATTTGGTCGTAAGTAATGAATAAGGTCCCACGATTTTACCCTATCGATTCAGTTGATCTGCATCAGACTGCTTTATGCCAGAATCAGAGAGTTCTAATACAGGATTTACAAATCCAGAATACTCGGAATTGCCGTTATCATCCATTTCGGCACTAACAAAATCATTCTCCCACTCCAGCCCATTGGAATCATCAGAGGCTGATGTAGGATTACTTCCAGTCTTCTTGCTGTTATACCTAAGTGCTGCTCGAAGAATGTCTTCCTCTGTTTTGGAACGTTCTCTCATTGGAAGCATTCTATTCATTCCTATAATTTGAACAGAGTTTTTAGAAACCTCAATGAAGATAAAAAGCTATGGTAAAAAACTTCCAAGTTAATGGTACAGTTTTTATTTAACTATTTGATTTCATTTCTGGATCTTCTTAAAGAGCCAGTCCTAGGGAGGGTTTCTTAAGGAAAATTGTTAGAGTCTAATCCTGTACTAGGAGCTCTAGTGGCACTGTGGTTAAAGCATTCTGCTGCTAATGAAAAGCTCAGTGGGGTTTGAACCCACCAGCTGCTCCTCAGGGGAAAGGTGAGGCAGTTTGTTTCCATAAGGATTTACAGCCTTGGAAGTCCTATGAGGCAGTGCTACTCTGCCCTAAAGGGTCGTGATGAGTCAGAATCAACTCTATGGAAGTGGATTTGGCTTGGGTTTCAATCCTGTACCATATTTTATATAAAAATAAATATTAAGAGCCAAAAACAAAACAGAATGGGAAGAGGATTCAATTGCTATTAGTTTTATATGGCCAAATCAGTGTACCTACCAAGGTCTTTCCCTACCTGGATGATAATTTCCCAGAGAATTATATTAACTACAATGATACTTTTCCAGCATTTATTAGATTCCAGTTACTATGGCAAGCACTTCCTATAGATTAACTAATTCAATCCTCAACAACTCTATGAAGTAAAGTATTATCCTTATTCCCATTCTACAGTAGAATAAGGCAATCTGCTCAAGGTCACATAAATATAAAATTATGGAGCAAGCATTTGAATCCATTCAGCCTGGCTCCAAAGTCTGTGCTCTTATACTATTCTGATGCTTCACTAAAACAGAGTGGAGGCGTTTTACGGGAAACTGTTCTAGCTCTAATTCTGCACAAAAAAACTTGCTTGGTAAAACAAGAGTGTCAAAAATCTTGAAAGGAAAAAAAATGTCATTTTATTGGCAGAAGGAAGAGAGGGAAAAGCAAAAAAAAAAAATTTGAATAAATAAATGTGGAATGAATACTGGTAGTAGAACTGAAATCTAGGATTAGCAAAGCAAGTATAAAAGCACACCCTTGAATATATCAAATAATTATGTTTTCTGACCTTAAAAAAGGGTCAGATCCTACAATAATAAAAGAATATTTAAATCTGTGTCATAACTGTTGTTTTTCACTCCGGAAAAATTTACTAAGACTTGACCCAGCAAAGCAAATTATTATCTTCTACCTAAACTGTTGTTGTTGCTATGTGCTGTTGAGTTGGACCCAACTCATAGCGACCCCACCTTGGGTTTCCGAGGCAGCATCACTATGGAAGTAGATTGCCCAACCTTCCTTCTGAGGAGTGGCTGGTGGGTTTGAACCACCAGTCTTCTGGTTAGCAGTCAAGTGCCTTAGGCACTATGCTACCAGAGTCTACCTAGACTAGCTTAAAAATTCTGTTAATTACTTGAATAATGACCTAGAAAGTCAAGTTATCTGCAAATCTGGTTATCACACAATGTGGATGACAGAATCAGGAATGTAAAAAACCAGAAATACTACAGATCAAATTAAACAAGGTACTAAAATAAAAATAAATTTAAAGTCTGATGATTGGGATCCAAATAGGCAGTAATATTAAGTACAGGATTAAGGAACAAAGTTGAGAAGACCACTTGCAAAAGGTAATGACTTTGATAAAGTCATTCAAGTTACTAGCATATCTGTTTCTTTTTTCTTAATTTTAAAAATATTCATGTTTCTCTATCAATAAAACAAATGGCTTGACTTAAAGGATATCTAAGGTCCTTTCCATCTCAAAATTCTATGAAATATTTAATACTTATTATTTTTCTCGAAGTTCTATATTCTATTATTGGTGCTTCCTTGTTGGATTATTTATGTTAAAATGAAAATGAAAACTTGGGGCTTAGTGAAATAGCTTTTTTAAAAACAAAGTCAACATTTCGGTTGAATTTTGAGTACTCTCTACGTGCCACACTCTACTAGGTATTTTGTATGTTTATCTAAATCCTCACACCTTTCATTCATTCATTTGCTCAAATGTTTGAGTACCTATTATATGGTAGACATTTTTAGGTCCCGAATATGTAACAGTAAGTATTCATTCATTGAAACTCAAACTAGTTGCCACTGAATCAATTCCAACTCAGGGCAACCTCATGTGTCTCAAAGCAGAACTGTGCTCCACAGAGTTTTCAAGGGCTGATTTTAGGAAGTAAATCATCAGGCCTTTCTTTTGAGGTGCCTCCGGGTGGACCCAACCACAAACATTTTGGTTAGCAATGAACCTATTAACCATTTGCATCACCAAAGGACCCCAATCATCCTTGAAAGTAGGCTTACCCAGTTTATAGAGATCAAGGAATGAATTAAAGGTTAGAGAGAATATATAATCTATCGAAAGTACTATAGCTAGAAAGACATAAAGCTAAAATTCAAACTCATGTTTGTGTTTTAGCTTTTGTTCTACCAAAAAAACTAACAGCTGCTAATTTATAATGAACCAAAAGTTAATTAACATTTGGCTTTTGATTGCCCACAAGGGGGCAGTAAATCTTCATACAGAGTATTATGGGTGGGATTACAAAATTCTCAAAACAAGAAGCTGACATTTTTTCTCTAAATCTCAAGAAACAGTAAACATTAAGCAACTTTCTAAACAATTCATCAATAAATGATAATCATTAATACAATAAGAGCCTAACAATTTTTTATACTGGTTTTCAAGGCTTTGTGTTCATTTCAGTTCAAATTAAGTAAAATACCAAGGAAGAAGAATTATATAAATTTAACACAGATTAAATTTAAGCTTTTTAGGTAAATTGTAGATTATAAAGTACCTTCTTCATCTTCCCATTCTAGATCTAAGGAGGTGCTGTCATCGTTTCCACTCGTTGACTTAGTTTTGGTCATTAAATCACAACTGCTTTCAGTATTTGGTGTCAAAACTGTGGCATCAGATGAGAGTCCTAGAATATACACCAAATACAATTCAATGTTGTCACCTGTACTCTTTTAGCACAACAGCCATTTATTTTGTAACAAGTGTCTTTTTCCAAGTATTATTATTCCTTTTAATTTCATAAGAAACCATTATCACTGAAATTATTATATTGATAAGTTTCTATCAGGAACAGCGTAAGGGTTGGTTTGTTTTCTTTTTGTTATCCAAGCACAGTAAACATGTAAATTTAAATGAATTAAAAGTTTTTCAAATATAATGAACTCTTCATTCTATTTTTAACAGACAATTGTAAAAGTGATTGAAAAAGTTAAAAAAAATTAAAGACAAATGGAAAGGGGACTATATTTAAGCAGAAATACTACTCCTATGCTTCCACTACTGGGAAGGACATGAGTTTTGATTTTTGAAACATGGAGAAAGAAACAGTTTTACAAACCAATTTGCATCAATTAAAGTTATTAAGTAATAAAGATTACAGTTGTATCCTACTTCCTCCCTATCCTCCTTCCTAAAAATAGAAAAGGGAGTGCTTGATTCCTTATAAGGATCTACAGAAAACAGCCCGAGATTTTTTCTTTGCTTCAACTCCTTTTTAAAAGGGAAAGATGATACTCCATAATTAAGGAATAGTTAATAGACCTATCTGGGCAACACAAAGGTAGGAAGTTTTATAGGAAACAGAGGTAGGATCTCCAATTATGTTTAACATGGCAGAAAAGAAACTTAAAAATGTACAAAGAATATTTTAAAAGACTTACTACTGCTTCGAAAAACTTCATATTGTGACTTCATATTTCTCAAACAGGATTCAAAGTCATCTTCTGGTCCTGTACTATAATGAAAGTGAAATGATTTTTAATGTATATTCAAAAATACAACATAACAACATAAATAACATTTATACATGCTTATATTAATAATTACATTTGGTTTGAAGGGCTATCTCACCCAAATTCATAATTAATGTACAATTAGAATCACCTAATGAAAATAGGTCTTAATTTTCTTAATGCTAGCATGAAAACAAAAATAAAAAATTTTAGTTAATCCTCATATCTCCAAAGCTCAGTTGTAAGCCCAACTTCTTAATTTTAAATAATGGAGCATAAAACCCTAAACTAAACCCATGCCATCAAGTTGATTCCGACTCATAGTGACCCCCTTTAGGCTTCCAAGGTGATAAATCTTTATGGAAGCAGACTGCCCAGTCTTCCTTCTGTAGAGTGGCTAGTGGGTTTAAACCACCAACCATCTAGCTAGCAGTCAAATGCCTTAGGCAGTACGCCATCGAGCTTCTTATAATGAAACACAAAAAAAGCTTATTTGATTAAGCAGGAGATACTTGTGGAAATGTGACACTGAAATGTCTTTTCAAAAATGGATCTGACATTAACTTTACTATAAGAAAACAGAGGGGCTAAGAAAAAGACAAGCAACTAATTAGCCTAAGGTATTCAATGTGTTACTGCATTATTTTCTATATGGAAGATGTGCCCATTCTTCAAAAAATGCAGTAAAGTCAATTTAAATGATGATAACTTTCTAACTTTAAGAAAGCAAACACTCTCGATGCTGTTATACTCCAATGACCTTAGAAGCGGTAATTTTAGGGAATACAAGTAAGTATATACATAAACACCCAAAGATGACCAGTGTTCTCTTTTGAAATAAAATTTTCCATGACAAAGGGAAAAAGAAATATGGTTTACAATTTACCTTTGATAGTCTCCACTATTGGAAAGATGATATCGCTGTACAACCCTCTGCCTTTCTTGCTTTGGAAACAAAATACAATACAAAATCAGTCTTTGTAAAACTCTATTTTCTAAAACCACTCATGCAATGTCAAAAAGCACTTTATTTTGTCTCTAAAAATAAAAACTTAGAAGTTATTCTTTCGAAGTCTTTTTTTTTCTTGTAAGTCATCACTGTTCATACTTCCATATTCTCTTATTTATGGGTAGAATTTCTCTCCTTTTATGAGTGTATAAATCATAATTTTTCAGAAAACTCTTAAGTTTATTAAAAAAATAAATCTTACACAGATATGCATTGGTGTCCTCAACATTCTCAATATACCCAAGAACTTTGTAATAATGAAAAGGATGAGGGTAGAGGGCAGAAAAGGAATAGTTAAAACATTCTATCCTGGGTGAAATAAGTAGCAACAAAAACAAGATTTTGAAGAACTGGCTTAGTTGGTTCAGAAATAGTAAAAGCAAAGGATTTAGAAAACCTGTCAGAGTTGTGGCTTGGTCAGTTACTAGCTGTGTGTCCTTGGTATGTCCTTTCCCTTCTGTTTCTTCAGCTGTAAATTATAAGTGGCTATAATACTGCCCTAGCAAACTCATAGGGTTACTGTGAAAATCAAATCAACTCGTGTGTGTCTGTATCAGTTTATGTTGTTTAGAGGGTTATGTATTCCTATATCAAATATTCAGTGAGGAAAGGAAGAAACTCAGGGAACTCTGGAAATCATCCAAATGGGTGCTGCTTATGGAATGGCTTTTAGTTTTTAAAAGAGGGCAATTGATACATTTACTACAGTAAAAAGAATGGCTCATATAATAACCAGAAAAAAATATTTTTATTCTTCACTGAAGGTGAGAGTTAATTTTAAACATTTTTTTTTTACTATTTAGAACGTACTAAAAAATAAATAAAAAGGTATCTTCCATATAATTTAATACATCTGCTGAAGCGCCTTGCCCTGAGAGAGAGAGAGCAAGATAGAAAAAGGACACAGTTTACATAAAAATCACATGGACACAATTTTTTAGCTTCTGTAAGTTACAATAATGATTATGTGACATAATCTTTGTATTACAGCCATTAACATTATAGAAGTGAGACCACATAGACAAAATGTGGAGGAAGATATTAACTAGACAGTATTGGCTAAGCAGTGGAGTCAGCTGCTGGGTCTGAACTCTGTGCCTGCCATTTATTAGCTGTAGGATCTCAAGCAAGTCACTTAACATCTCCATTGGTCAGTTTCCTCATCTGTAAAGTGAGGATTAAAAAGATAACCTATCTCCTAGGACTGTTGTGAAGAATAAACAAGGTAAAACATGCACACTAATTAAAACAGTCCTGACACTTAGGACTCCATAAATGTCTGCTATTTATAACTGTGTGATATATGGTAATACCTTATTAGTATGTGGCATGATAAGTAAGGCAAATCTCCTGCATTCCCTGATAATATGCCAAAGACCTCTTAAGACTCAAACTCCCAATGACACAACAATAAAGATGAGAGATAAATAATATTCCTATGGGGCAAAATTGCCCAGCTTATCCAATCAAACAAAGCATAAGGAATTCTAGTAGTTTAAGGATTAAAGAAAAAAAAAAACTCATGAAAAAAATGCTTTGTGAATTATATTTAAGGACTAGTTTCTCAATATTTTCTCTCTAAAGTGTATTTATTTCTCCAAAAGAACACTGAATTTTAGAAAGCTAAAATTCATCTTTAGGGTAATTAGCTTCTGCTAAAGTTAAACATCATTCATTATCAAGCATGTAAGTTAACGTTAAACATGTAAGTTCAATGTTAAACAAGAGGCCCTTGTTTCTAAGAAAAAAAAAAGTTGCAACTAAGATTTGTGAGAAACAATAAGGAGAAAAGCAGCCCTACTATACGTTGGGGTCTTTTCCCCTCACCTCCAAGAGCTTTCGCTGCTTTGCTGCCCTGGCTGCTTCACGCTGTGCAGCGTATAAAGCTTCTTCTTCTAGTCTTAACTTCTCTTCTTGTAAGGCTAACTGTACATGAACAAAACAATAAGGATTAACAAAAAGCAGAACCTGTCTAACTGCTCTAGAAACAAAATATGTCTATTTAAAAAGTAAAATAAATTAGTAAAGAAAAAAAAAAGAACTGATTTCTACAAAGAACAATAGAAGTGAAATTTTAGTGACTGCCTATGCTTCAAGTTCTTCTTTACAAAGTAAATCAAACAGCAAACACATTAAGGAATTCTTTAGAAGTTGAATTATGAAGTAGTTGCATTCAAGTTGTATAAATACAGACTTGTTTCTTTCTTTAGAATATGTAATGCTTTTCAATATCAATAATCATCCCAATACATATCCTGACTAGTTTTATGGCGTTGGCTCTTGTTCGTCCATGGTCCCCAAAACTAAGGCCAATCATATAAAATGCATGTCTTGCTAATTGGCAATTGATGCAACGCAAAAGTCAATGCAACCATTGCGTGGAGTCAGATCCAAATCATAGCAACCCTCCTTGGGTTTCCAAGGCGGCACCCTACGGGGGGGGGGTATTGCCCAACCTTCCTTCCAGGGAGTGGCTGGTAGGTTTGAACTGCCAGCCTTCTGGTTAGCAGTCAAATGCTTTTGGCACTACACCACCAGAGCTCACGGCAATTGATGCAGGTCTTCTTAATTTTACTACTAATGAGTTACAGAAAAATTACCTTCAAATTTAAGTTCTTGCCATTGGTAATATGTAAACTACTTTAGATAATCTATTGTATGTCAAATCTAATGTGAAAATTAAATTTAAACACAAATTTTTCTTTAGACTACTACTTGTTGTTGTTGTTGTTGTATGCCGTCGAGTCAGCCTCGACTCATAGCGACCCCTCCTTGGGTTTCCGAGGCAGTATCACTATGGAAGTAGGATTGCCCATATCAGTTAATGTTTTTGAAATCATTATATTTAAATGAAGCATGGAGCATGACTATTTTATTTTTTTACACAAATAACCTGTGCAACATGTAAAGAAATTAGCATAGTATGCTTACAAAAATACCTTTAGGGAAGGACGCAGATGGCAACAACTGTGTAACGTGAGCATTATGTGTGTAAAAATATACTAATTCAGTTTAATTTAGTGAATTGAGAATCTATAATCACAGGTCATTTGTGTAAAAACATTAAAATAAAACATAACACTTATTAAAAGTATTTGGCTCACTTACTGAGAATAAATCTAAGACTAATAAAGACATTAAAAAACACAACTGTATTGTGAAACAGTGATTTTGGTTTTTAACACAAAGATGCATGTTCTTGCCAGAGCCCCTACTGATGAATTAAGAAATTACCTTTTAAAAACTGTATCATCCTCATTTTTTTGGCAGCATGTGATCTCTGATAAATTAAGTCAAAGTGAAACAAAGTCTAAGTGAAATTTACTAATTTTAAATAGTTTTTGATCTGTATATATCTAAATATAGGTCGACTGACTCCTCACACACAATGTATGATTTAATACAATGCTCCCTTAAAGAGAGGCTTTAAAATAACTGTACTTAAGCAATATAAAAAACTATTTACCTCTTTTTGAATTTTCATATCAATATCTTTTTGCTTTTCAGCAATAGAATCATAATGTCTTTCTCTTAAGTCAACAATTTCTTCCTCAGTAAGAGGCCTAGAGAGAAAAAGGGAGAGGACAGAAAAAAGGGGGAAAAAAAAGTCTGAGTCCAAATAAAACACTCATAAAAAGCCAGTGAAATTCTGAAATTTTGCTGTCAAAATGTATTAAAGTAATTTGACACTATGATTTCAATTGTTAGAGTACAAAGCATATATTCTAACACATGCTATATTCTGATATATAAATTGAATAAGATGATATATTATCAGAGTATTGTTTTAAGAAATGTGAATTCTATTTACCTTCCATCTTTCTCTTTCAGCCACCTAACCTACGGGCACATACCTTATCATCATGGACTTTATCATCACCCAGTATGCTCATCGAAAGCACACACTTCAGAACTCCACACCCGGACCTCAGTTCTCATACTATTCTAGGGTTTTTATAGTCTTATTCCCAGTACCCTCCTGTTCTTCCTGATCAATGGCTCTGGCTCTCTAGGCCTGTGACCATTCTCTTTTTCTCCCTATCTACTCTGATCATCTCCTGGATTCACTTCACTTAAACCATGTGAAGTAGATCTGAACTATTTTCTCATCAACATAATCAATTTTCCTGTACTCCTTCATTACGCAGCATTCACCCACTTCACTCATACCTTAACCTTTGACCTTGTCAATGATTAGCCATTTTTAATGATGTATGTTAGAATAAATAAAGCCACCATTAATTTGGCCCTTAGCCCTAAGCAACAGTGCTTTTCCTTATATGTAGTTGACTCCCTCTCATCCCACACTAATTACTTCAAAATCTTCACACACTCAAGTTCCTTATTCAACTCTCTTATAAGAAAATTTCACATCACTTTGAAAAATGGGGAGCCTCAACTATGTACGCCTTCAATTTCTTGCCATATTCCCTCTTACTTAAGAATATCCTCCTTCAATTATGCTCAGTGAAATAAGTCAATCACAGAAGGACAAATATTTTATTAGTTCACTATTGTAAAATGTCAAGGAAAGGTTTACACATGGAAGGAAACTTTCTTTGTTGGTTACCAGGGGTGGGAGGGGAGGGAACACTGCTAGACAGGTAAGAGACAAGTACTGATTTGGGTGAAGGGAAGGGCAATATACCAAATCGAGTGACTAGCTCCTTTGGCCTGTTTCCTGCTGCACAATTCCAAAAAGCAGTCAGCATTCTCTCCTTTTGTTCTTTGTCTCCTTCAGTTTAAGCTGATGTGCTCTCTGCTGTGGTAGTTGGTTGGATCTATCAGTCACAGGCTTAATCTCTTTAACAAAAGTTTGTGTAACTGTATCCTTGGTAAAAATTCTAAGACATGTCCTTAGTTTGTATAGCAACATTTTCCAAATCTTTTTATTTCCATTTGCATAGTTCATTTCCTCTTGCATTTTACTGTAAGTGGCAAGGAGAAACCGTGTGGCCTCTTAAGTTCCTGATTAGAAATCTCCTCAGCCAGATATCCAAATTCATTACTCATAAGTTCTAACTTCCACCAAATGTATGAACTTGATCCAAACAAGTTCTTTGCCACTGCATAAAAAGTACTGTCTTTCCTCCATTGTCCAATCACATATGTATTCTCTAAGATGACAGAGAAAATCTCCGTATATAGCTCTCCTCACTTCCTTCTGAGCCCTCAGCAGAATTGCCTTTGACATCCATAATTCTAACAACATACTTCTATCAACAGTCTCTCCAAGGCAATCTAGGCTTCCACCAGTAGGCACCTTAAAACTCTTTCAATCTCTACCCATTACCCAATTCCAGACTGCTTCCACATTTCAGGTATCTATTAGAGCAGCACCACACTCTTCCAGTACCAAATTCTGTCTTAGTTATCTGGTGCTGCTAGAACAGAAACACTACAAGTCGGTAGATTTAACACACAGAAATTCGTTCTCTCACAGTTCAGGAGGTGAGTTTAGGCCCTGAATTCAGGGCGCCAGCTCTAGGGGAAGGCTTTCTCTATTTGTCAGCTCTGGATAAAGGTCTCTGTCTACTTTCAACATTAGTGGGCCTGCATTCTCTGGAGAGCTCTATGTGTCTTGGCATCAATCTTCCCCTGGGTCTAGGAGGTTCTCAGTGCAAGGACCTCAGGAACAAAGGACGAGCTCTGTTCCTGGCTCTTATTTTTTAGTGGTAGTCAGGTCCCTCCTCTCTGCTCCCGTCTCTCTCCTTTCACCTCTTGTAAGACAGATGTGATTCAAGAAAGGCTGAGAGTTGAATATGGGTAGTGACTGGGTGAGATAGTGACTTCAATACTTGAGTAAGGATGGTGACCTGAGCGAGTGTGGGACTTCAGTCATGCCCTCTTGTAAGGCTGTGACTCAGGTTACAATCCACCCTAAACCTACTTCATTAACATATTTGTTGTTGTTGTTATTTGCCTTGAGTGGGCCCTGACTCATAGCAACCCCTCCTTGCGTTTCCGAGGCAGTATCACTATGGAAGTAGGATTGCCCAACCTTCCTTCCAAGGAGTGGCTGGTGGGTTTGAACCGCCAGGCTTCTGTTTAGCAGTCAAGTGCCTTAGGCACTATGCTACCAGAGCTCTTCATCAACATATAGAGGTTAGGTTTTACAACACATATCACAAAATGGAGGACAACCATACACTATTGGGAATCATGGTCTTGTCAAATTTACACATATTTTGGAGGAGACACAATTCAATCAATGATTGATTCTTATACTTTCTAGGTTTTTCTTTTGCCCAGTACTGCTTGGTCATCTTTTGACTCTTTTCAGTGCTTGCCTATTCAATCCTCAGACTACTGCCTTCTCTACATGATCCACTTCTCTACATGGCATTCAAAATATGGAACATTATATGAAAGTATTATTAACAGTATAAAGAGGCTGTTTTTTAAAAAATTATGCTATCAAAGTTCTAGTTACTACTGAAAGATGTTTTATTAGTAAAACAAGTTTCAGAACGTTTATAAGGCAGGAAAAAGAAGATAACATTAAAAAACTTAAGGGGAATTTATCATTTTTTTTAAAAGAGAGATTCTTATCAAAGTTACTTTAAAAAAAAAAGTGTACTGCTCAAATAGGTGTACAACAATTACTGAAAAAAATCCATCTTTTTCCCTTTACCAGTGAAAAGCAGTACACACAATAGACCTCAGTGACATCTGCAACATGACCAGTGTTGCTGTGGAATTCTCACTTTCAGTGAACCATTAAAGCAAGAGAGCTACAAAATACCTTGAGTGCTTTAATGAACTGTGGAAATACATAGAAGCTAGAGTTTTTCATTATTCTTCAATGCTAAAAATAAAATGTGAAATTTAGTTGCATATTTGGTCCTCTACTATATTAAGAGATCAGAATAAAAGTGGTTATTGTGATTCTAAATTTTTCAAGCATTTGTGTTTTTCACTTCAGTGTTCCAAAGTGAACATCTATTCTTTCTGCTTCCTATGAATCCCTTTTTCTTTTTGGAGAGGCCAATCGCTCATTCAATGTGATTTAGATGAAAGTTAACAATTACAGTGCAATGGGAAAGGCATATGACCGAGACCTGGCTTATCGTGGGCCTCATCTTTTCTCCACAGGGACTGGTCCAATGAAAGGGCTGGCGATCCAAGAATGACCACAGTCCTTTGTAAGATGTGATACATGGATCCTAGAAGAAGAAGTTCTCTCTCTTCCTTTTGGATCACTGATCTTAAGGATGTTAGCTTACAGCTGACACTGGCCATCTTTCCTATCATGCGGAAGGGACCAGCCTGAAAATGAAGCCAGGAAACAACAACAACAACAACAAACTATCACGAGATAGAGGCAGAGATCCCTGATGATGTAATCTGGGCTCTGCAACCAGCTATGCCTACTGTATAATATTAAATTTTTGAGGTTATATACTTCAGCAATTCAGTGAAAATGAGGTATTTCTTCTCCAAGGAGTCAAACACAATTTATTTTATCTTAAAGCCAGGAGGACAAACTGCGTAAAAGAAAAGAAAGATTTAGCCTAAACTTTTCTGATAGACATTTTCTCTCCAGGATCCTGTTACTGATTTCATTAGTCACATCAGTGATCCTCCAAATATTCACAAATGATGTACAAATTGTGTCATTTGATTGAAGAACCAAGTTTGAAAATAACAATCTTTCCATTCTTTCTGTTTTCTAAAAATGTTCTAATAATTCTCAAGACACATTATGTGCCCATGATAAATTTTTAAATTAAACTTTTTCTTCCAAAACTAACTTAGAGCAAGAAAATCTTTTATTTATTCTTATTCACAAACAGAACTCAACCATCTTCTTTAGTTTTCCATGGAGGGAAAAAACAGCTGAACTGAACAGATACAGCAAACAGTATGCTTCCTATTTTTATTCTCTATATTAATGACCAGAGAAAATCCTTTGTTGTTTTCATCTTGGTTTCAACACGATGGTATCAATCTCCTTTCGTTCCTCTGAATCTTGATCTGGCATCTAACATTGACCTTTTACATTAAAAAAACCAAGTATTTCAAAGTTTTACAGCTTTTTTCCTTTGAACACTGCCAATGAGTTTTTCTTTCCTGGGAAACTTTAAACTTGTGGAGGGTGGGTGGAGAGCAACCACATCTACTTTTAAGGTTGATACCCACACCTTGTTGTTGTTGTTATTTGCCATCAATCAGCCCCAACTCATAGCAACCCCTCCTTGGGTTTCCGAGGCAGTATCACTACGGAAGTAGGATTGCCCAACCTTCCTTCCGAGGAGTGGCTGGTGGGTTTGAATCATCAGCCTTCTGGTTAGCAGTCAAGTGCTTAGGCACTATGCTACCAGAGCAAGGAGGGGTCGCTATGGGTCGGGTCCGACTCGACGGCATATAACAACAACAACAACAACCCACACCTTGACCTCCAGGTGATTCTGATGAAGAGTCAGCAGGTCTGGAAGCTGAAACACACAGTCCGACATGTGCCCAGGTCCTCCTTCACACACTTGCTACCCTTTGGTTTGTCCCCATACCTTCTGTGGTAGCCGTCTCTTGGACCTAGTGGAGTAGCAGTTGTTGCAGACTGAAGAAGGCAGAGACTGGAGCAGGTGGGACTGTAGCCATGCCCTGATATTAGGTTTTTTTTAAAATGAAAAATTGCAGAACAACTTAGGTTTAATAGGGAAGCACACAGGCACTCAGGGATATTAAATTCTTTAACGCTCAAAATAATCCTTTGAAATATTTATTATTTACCTCTATTTTTACACAAAGAGTAAATAAATGAAGTTCGGAAATGTAACCTGTTCAATGCATCAAAGCAAGCAAATGAGAACCCAGAAGTCCTAAACCTCACTGCCACTGAGTTGGTTCCAACTTATAGGGATACTCACTGGGTTTCCAAGGCTGTAAATCTTTATGGAAGCCAACTGTATCATCTTTCTTTCCTCCATGGAGCAGCTGGTGGGTTTGAACCACAAACCTTTTGGATAGCAGCCAAATGCCTTAACCACTACACCACCAGAGCTCCTTAGGACTTTTAAAGAACTTCTTATAGTTCACATAGAAAAAGAGTTTTTTAATTTTTGAAAAAAGCCTTACCTGTGACTGCTTCCTGGGCTTTCTCCCTGTACAAAAATTAAACCATTAAAGAAATTTCACTTAGCTGAAATCTACTTAAGGCAAACTAATATAATTTTCATGTAATCAAAAATATTTTCTACTTATCTATTTTTATCACTGTAAAAAAATAATTATTTAAGAATTTTAAACAAAAAGCTTTAAAATCTCACTATTTCTCAAAAGCAAAATTCAGATTAATATCTTAGCTTAATTATATAACAACCACTTTTGGGACATTTCTTAATATTTTCTATCAAATAATTACTATATACCAATGAATCATTCTAGATTCAGGTATATACATATCATTCTGACATATTCTTTATGCCTTCATTATCTATGTGTTTTCACTCACATGTTTATGAAATTACCTGTGGTTTTTCCTCCAAAAGAAACCATAACGATTTTCAAGGTTTTCACATATTTCTTACACATTTAAACTGCTCACGTCTGACAACAGAGTTAAAGTATATTACTAAGTAACACCAGGAATAAAATTCTAAATGACTGAAATGAATTTAGAAAATAGCACTACAACATAAGATGACTCTCAACAAAACCAAATGCCAAATATAGCACAGATGGGGAAAAAAAAAAATTTCAACCAACCAAACAACAGCACCTTAGGAAAGCAAATGGAATCAAAAGTTCCTTTAAGAAGCATATGATAAAAGCTTGGGATAAATTTTATGGGAGGTTGAAAGAACTATCTGCACTGAGCATTTGTCAGAAGTTTTAAAAATTACTGTGTTCAGTGTTTGTTTAAACTTTTTTAAAAAGACATGAAGATTACAAAGACTTTTGGGAAGAGAAAGAAAGGAAGTTCTAGGAAACATTAAAATATTTAGAAGAAATTTAGATGGGAGAACAAAAGGCTAATAGGATAGTTTCCCAAATGCGTTCTGTCAGATAATAATATGTACACTTATTTTTTAAAAGGTTTTAACCCCAAATTCATCCGAGAAATGCTGAGATGAACAAGTTTAAATAATCTGTTATAACAATAATTCTCCAAACCTCTAATAAGCTAATTCACATCGTAATACCAGTATTCTGTATACACTCTTGGAAATTACGTGTTAAAGAATATCTTAAGTTCTTAAAGAAAAGGCTTGGTACATTTCCTCTTTCTTTAGAAAGTGAAAGGGACAAAAGAACAGATCTTACAGTGGTCATCTAGTCTAAACTATTTTAGAGATGTGCAAAGTAGGTCCCAGGGAGGTTAAGCAATTTGCAAACTCCTACAATTAGTCTGGTGATGAAATCGGAAATTACCATGTATACTAAGCTCAATTATACTAGTGCATATGAATACACACATTTCACCAATTCTAAGATGCGGTTTTTTCCCCCATATTGTAACACAATTCAATTTGGGATGCACATCTTAAAACAGTTTTAGAAGCAATGAAATACAGAAAATTAACATAAAAATAATAAACTAATAAAAAAGTAATGGCTAAAGTCAAAAACAGACTGTGGAATCAATACATATAAATTCTAAACTCTGAAATCCATGAAAACTGGTTAAAGAATATGTCTATGGAATGACATCTCTGCTGAAGGATTAGAAGACTTAATATTGTTAAGATGTCAAGATTACCCAAAATAATCTACAGGTTCAATGCAATCCCTATCAAAATCCAATAGTCTTTTCTGCAGAAACAGAAAAGGTGATCCTTAAATTCATATGGAATTACAAAGGGACTTGAATAGCCAAGACAATCTAGAAGAATAAAATAGGAGGACTCACACTCTGGTGGCATAGTGCCTAAAGCATTTGACTGCTAATCAGAAGGCTGGAGGTTCAAACCCACCAGCCACTCCTCGGAAGGAAGATTGGGCAACTACTTCTCTAGTGATACTGCCTTGGAAACCAAAGGAGGGGTCGCTATGAGTTGGATCCAACTTGACGGCAGTGAGTTTTCACACTTCTGGATTTCAAAATATACTACAAAGCTACAGTAATCATAACAGTAGAAATGGGATAAGGACAGACATAGAGAACAACGGGATAGAATTGAGAATCTAGACATAAACCCATACATCTATTGCTAAATGATTTTTGACAAGAGTACTAAGTCCATTCAAGGAGGCAAGAATAATCACTTCAACAAATGGCTGAATGACAATTAATGAGTCAATGACCATAAAACTACTAAAATAACAGGGGCAAATATTTAGAACCTTGTATTTACCAGTGGACTTGTAGATAAAACACCAAAAGCATGAGCAACAACAACAAAAACCAGACAAACTAGACTTCACTAACATTAAAAATTTTTGTGTACCAAAGCACATTATCAAGAAAATGAAAAGAAAATCTATAGAATAGAAGAAAATATTTGGAAATCACAAATCTGATAAAGGCTTAATACACAGGGTATATAAAAAAGTCCTATAATTCAACAACAAAAAGAGAACAACCCAATCAAAATATGGCCAAAGGACTTGAATAGGCATTACTCCAAAGAAATAAAACGTCCAATAAGCACATGGCAAGATGTTCAATGCATTAGTCATTAGGGAAATGAAAAGCAAATCAAAACCACAATGAGATACTACTTTTTCCCTACTAGGATGGCTATTATCAGGAAACAAAACAATGACAAGTTTTGTTGAGGATGTGGAAAAATTAGAAACCTTGTGGATTGCTGGTGGGAATGTAAAAAAATGGTACAGCCACTATGAAAAACAGTACACTGACAAGGAACTCCCAGAAATTCAACTTGGATTCAGAAGTGGAACCAAAGATATCATTGCTGATGTCAGATGGATCTAGGCTGAAAGCAGAGACTACCAGTAAGATATTTACCTGTGTTTTACTCACTATACAAAGGCATTCAATTGTGAAGAATGAGAATTCCAAAATACTTAACTGTGCTCATAGACCAGGAGGCCGTCGTTCAAACAGACCAAGGGGATACTGTGTGGTTTAAAATTAGGAAAGGTGTACATGAGGGTTGTAGGCTTTTACCATACTTATTCAATCTGCATTCTAGACTATATGAAGAAGAACGCGGCATCAGGATTGGAGGAAGACTCATTAATAACCTGCATTATGCAAAGGATACAACTTGTTTGCCGAAACTGATGAAGGACTTACTGATAAAGATCAAAGACTACAGCCTTCAGTATAGATTATATCTCAACATAAACAAAACAAAAATCCTCACAATTGAACCAATAAACAACATCTGATAAATGGAGGGAAGATTGAAATTGTCAAGGATTTCATTTTACTTGGATCCAAAATAATGCCCATGGGAGCAGCAGTCAAGAAATCAGATGATACATTGGGCAAATCTGCTGCAAAAGACCTCTTTAAAGTGTTAAAGAGAAAAGATACCATTTCAAAGGCTAAGGTGCACCTGACCCAAGCCAGGGTATTTTCAATAGACTTCTATGCATAAAGATGTACAATGAATAAGGAAGATCACAAAAGAATTGATGCCTTTGAAATGTTGCACTGAGGAGGAATACTGAAAATACCATGCACTACGAAAAGAATAAATACATTTGTCTTGGAAGAGGAACAGCTAGAATGCTCCTTAGAAGGGAGAATGTTAAGACTTCATCTCTCATACTTTGGACATGTAATCAGAAGGGACCAGTCCCTGGAAAAGGGTATCATGCTTGGTAAAGTAGAGGATCAGCAAGAAAGTGGAAGACCTGCAGTGAGATGGAAGGACACAGTGGCTGCGATAATGAGTCTAACAATGACTGTGAGAATGGCAGACCACTGGACAGTGTTTCATTCTGTTGTACACAGGGTCATTACAATACGAGCCAGAAACAACTAGATGGCCATTAATAACAACTCTGGATTGTTGGGATTGTTGAGGCATTTTCCCTATATAATGGCAAGAGTTCACAAATGATCCCTTTCTGAAGTTCCTCGAATTATACAACACAACACACTGCTGTCAAATCGGATCCAACTCATAGCGACCCCTCCTTCTACAGAACACTTAAAAACCTGTTATATGTATGTGTATGTGTGTGTGTGTGTGTGTATTTATATATAACACGGGAGCTCTGGTGACATAGTGCCTAAGGCATTTGACTGCTAACCAGAAGGCTGATGGTGGTTCAAACCCACCAGCCAGCCACTCCTCGGAAGGAAGATTGGGCAATCTACTTCCGTAGAGTTACTGCCTCAGAAACCCAAGGAGTGGTCACTATGAGTTGGATACAACTCAACAGCAGTGAGTTTGGTTTTGGTTTGGTACATATAACATAGTACTATATATATTACATAGTAGAAAATTCTGAATTTATTTGCTAATAGAAATTAATAAAATAAGAAAATGATATAGAATAGGTTAAAAAGTAAAAATAAAAACCAAAAACTAAAATTCTAAAACAAAAAATTAAATAAAATAACAATTAAAAAAGCATAATAAAGAGTGAGAATAAGATGACTATTGAGAACACATATGGGTTTTACACTACATGGAAATACTTACTTCATCACTTTCTACTAGATTCTCAAACTGAAAAAAAAAAAAAAAAAGAAAGTAAGTGTTAGAAGATATTTGTCCAAGGCATATATCTTATCATAAATTATACGTTATTTTTTCAATTTAAAAATAACAAGTTTTTATATCTATAAAATACTTAAGTCAAATATCTTTTTACCTATCAGCTCATTTGATATATTCAACCATCCTACAAAATCGTCAAGGCAAGTATAAACCATTTTTATTTATGACTTTATATCAAAAACTGAAAAAGCACAATTTTCTACATAAATCTCACATAAACTTACCAACTAAACTGAATATTTCATTCAAGTGTTTTAAACCCACACTATTAGAATTTTATACTTTACCTGAGTTCAGAACAAATTATATACACAGAATTAAACAAATAAGTAGGGATGACAAGATTTTTTTTCTACTGTTTACTTTAGTCTTGAAGGCCAACTATGATGTATTAACAGGGCTAACTAGATTCAATCTGTATGCTGAGCAAATAGTTTGAGAAGCTGGATCATATGAAGAATACAGCATCAGGATTAAAGAAAGATTCATTAACAATCTGCAACATGCAGATGACACAACCTTGCTTGGTGAAAATGAAGAAGACTTGAAGCATTTACTGATGAAGATCTAAGACTCCAGCCTTCAGTATGGACTATACCTTAACAGAAAGAAAACAAAATCCTCACAACTAGACCAATAAGCAAACCATGATAAATGGAGAAAACATTTACATTGTCAAGGATTTCATTTTACTTGGATCTTTAATCAGTGCCTATAGAAGCAACATAGAAATTCAATGATGTGTTGCCTTAATATAAAGAAAACAATCCTCACAACTAGACCAATAAGCAACATCACGATAAATGAAGAAAACATTTAAGTTGTCAAGGATTTCATTTTATTTGGATCTATAATCAATGCCCATGGAAGCAGCAGTGAAGAAATTAAATGATGTATTGCATACGGCAAATCTGCTATAAAAGACTTGGTTAAAGTGTTAAAAAGCAAAGATGTCACTTTGAGGACTAAGGTGCCCCTGACCCAAGCCATGGTATTTTCCATTATCTCATATGCATATGAAAACTTGACAATGAATAAGGAAGACCTAAGAAGAACTGATGCCTTTGAATTATGGTGTTGGTGAAGAATATTGAATGTACCATGGACTGCCAGAAGAACAAACAAATCTGTCTTAGAAGTACAGCAAGAATGTTCCTGAGAAGCAAGAATGGCCAGACTTTGTCTCACATACTTTGGACATGTTATCAGGAGGGACCAGTCCCTGCAGAAGGACATCACACTTGGTAAAGTAGAAGTCAATGAAAAAGAGGAAGCATCTCAATGAGATGACTGACACAGTGTTGCAACAATGAGTTAAGCATGGCAACAACTGTAAGGATGGTTCAGGCTGGGTAGTTTCATTCTTGTACACAGGGTCTCAATGAATAATTACCAACTAGCCAGCACCTACCAACAACACTTGCATTACTGTTCTGTAACAAATTCTGAGGCTGTATCTGGGCTTCAGGAAAGATTGCATTGATTCCTCAAATAGCAAGATTATTTGATATATTCAACATCCTTCATCTGGAGCAGTGATTATCAGCCCTAGGTGGACACAGGAGTCACATAAGGAGCTTTACAAACATACGGATGCCTGGGCTCCATCCCCAAAGATTATGGTTTAGTCTTTTTTCAGATGCTTTCCAGGTGATTTTAATGTCCAGACATCACTGAGAACCACTCATACATAGAAATGTTTATTTCTTCCTAATATTTGATCGGGTTCCTCCTAACATGAACAACTAGACATTTTCTGTGTCTAATAAAAATTACAATAGAGGGGGAGTGTTGCAGGGTAGGGAGGTGAGACTGGGTTAGGGTTGGACATGGCGAATGGGAAATGAAACTAAATGTATGCATGACTTTGAATGTAAAACAAGCTCTTAAAATAATAACAATAAAAAATTACATTAGAAACACACTTTCACGATATAAAAATGACCTCCTATAATAAAATATATTTAAAATTTCAAATTATATGAATGCAAGTAATGCAAATTATGAAAAAAAATCCCAGAAAAATACAAGTTTGTTTTGAAATATGCTATATATTTATAAAGAAAACAAAAATCCTCACAACTGGACCATTAAGGAGCATCATGATAGATGGAGAAAAGATTGAAGTTGTCATATTACATGGTTCTACAATCAACATCAATGGAAGCAGCAGTCAAGACATCAGATGACATATGGCATTGGGCAAATCTGCTGCAAAAGACCTCTTTCAAGTGATGAAGAGCAAAGATATCTCCTTGAAGACTAAGATGCGCCTAACCCAAGCCATGGTATTTTCAATTGTCTCATATGCATATGAGAGCTGGACAATGAATAAGGAAGAGTGAAGAAGAGTTGATGCTTTTGAGCTGTGGTGATGGTGAAGAATGCTGAAAGTACCGTGGACTGCTAAAAGAACTAAGAAATCTGTCCTGGAAGAAGTGCAGCCAGAATGCTTCTTGGAATTGAGAATGGCTTGCTTGGAAGTGAGAAGGGACCATTCTCTGGAGAAGGATGTCATGCTTAGTAAAGTGGAGGGTCAGCGAAGGAGGGGAAGGCCCTCAACAAGATGGCTTGACATGGTGGCTGCAATGATGGGCTCAGGTATAGCAAGTATTGTGAGGCTGGCACAGGACTGGGCATTCTGTTGTACATTCACTCTGTTGTACTTAGGGCCACTATGAGTCAGAGATGCCTTGATGGCACCTAACAGGAACAAGATTATTATTCAAAACAAGAGTATATAGGATATGGGAAAACAGAAGATGTGTCCTTGCTCCAAGGACTATTAATATCAGATTAATTAAAAAAATTAAATAACCACACCCAATATATGTGTGTGTGAATCAAAGGAAAAAAATACTAAAAAGACATTAGTGTTTAAATGTGTGTGTAAATCAAAGGAAAAAAAATACTAAAAAGACATTAGTTAATAGAGATGACTCTATTAACTACTTTAGCTCCATGATAGGTTATCTATCCTGGCAAAAGACAATTCAATTGCTCTATTTTAACAATATAGTCAACTTAAACAATTTTTTTTTGGCTTACTCCCTTTTGTTTCCTTCATTCTCCTAAATTATTTAATGATCACTGCTGATGTGAATATTATGGACAAGCTGGACAGACACAGCTAATTTCTGTGTTTATATTCAATTTTGCTTTCATAAGAAAAGAGATGCCTTGGTGGTGCAGTGGTCACATCCTGGCCTGCTGACCAAAAGTGCATCATCTGTTGCTCTGCAGGAGAAAGACTGGCTTATAGATTTATACCCATGGAAATCCTATGGAGCACTTCCATTCTGTACTATATGGTCACTAGGAGTGGGAATTGACTTGAGAGCAGGTTTGGTTCTAGTTTCCTAAGAAACAACAGTAGAGGAAACTTGCTGAAAATAGCTACCTGAATTCCCATTAAATATTAGTTCTTAACGACTGTGGTATAATATAGAGGCAAACTGATACATTTCAGAAAATTAATATTTTAATGTTATGTTGCACTAATAAAGAAGTAGATGTGAATGTTGCTTTGGTAGTTCTTATATAAACCACAAAACAAAATAGAAATAAAAGTTGGCATTCATTTGTGCTGTTTACCAAATACTTTCAGTTCTCTGCCTTCTGAATAGATGATGGGATTAATTAATCAGGTAAGACATAATTTAGTTTACTTAACGTCATGTTTGGGAGCTCTGGTGATGTGATGCCTAAGGCACTTGACTGCTAACCAGAAGGCTGGAGGGTCAAACCCACCAGCCACTCCTTGGAAGGAAGACTGGGAAATCTACTTCCGTAGTGATACCGCCTCGGAAACCCAAGGGGGGTTTGGATCTGACTCCACAGGAGTGAATTTGGTTTTTTGTTTTTTTAATGTCATGCTGTCATCTTCTGCCACTGCATCGATTCCAACTCATGGTGACCCTCTGTGCCATTGTGTAAAATTGCTCCATGGGGTTTTCTTGCCTCTAATCAAGGAAGATGGGTCAATCTACTTCTGTAGTGACACCACTTCGGAAACCCAAGGAAGGGTCGTTATGAGTTGGCTCTAACTCAACAGCAATGAGTTTGAGTATCTATGTATTTATTTTTAAATAATATTTTATTGTGTTTAAGCTGGAAATTTACACAGCAAATTAGGTTCCCATTTTATAATTTCTACAAAATTATCCAGTTATTGACTATATATTTCACAATGTGTCATCATTCTCATTCATGTCATTCTGGTTGTACCATTTCCAGTACTCCAGTTTCCCTGCCTCCATACCTCCTCATTTTTGCTTTACAGTAATTTTTGACTAATTGGTCTAATATAGATTATATTTTAGAGCTCATTACTCACAGGTGATATTTTTTATTTTATGAGCCAATCTGTTCTTTAACTAGAAGTGAATTTCTTGGCTGTAATCTTTATGAAAGCAGATCACCAGGCCTATTCTTCCACAGTGCTGCTGGGAGGGTTTGAACGGCCAACCTTTTGGTTTTCAGCAGAGCATAAACTGTGTGAGTCAACCAAGGACAGCTTGAGGCCATAAGAGGAAAACTTACTCAAGAAACAGGGACTAGAAAGATATTAAATAAGAATTTGTCCAAATGTTTATAGTTATTCATTTATCCATTTATAAGAAGCCCTGGCAGTGCAAACATTAACTGCTCAGCTACTAATTGAATGGCCAGCGGTTTGAACTTAGCAGCAACTCAGCAATGTGCTCCCATAAAGTTTCTAAAAACCCACTGCCATCAAGTCAATTCCAACTCATAGCGACCTCCAATGGGTTTCCAAGGCTGTACATCTTTACAGAATTAGATTGCCTCCTCATCCTCCTGTGGAGCAGCTGGTGGGTTTGAACTGGTGGGTTTGAACTGCTGACCTTCTTGTTAGCAGCCAAATGCCTTACCCATTATGCCACCAGAGCTTCTTTCCATAAAGATTATAGCCTAAGAAACATTTATGGGGCAGTTCTATTCTGTCATATAGGGTTGCTATGAGTCAGAATCAACTCAATGGCATACAACAGCAGCAACATTCATTCATGTAACTATTTACTGAATATCTATTAGATGGTATTTGCTACCTCCAAATACAATGTCTTGCTAGCAACAGGAATGTAAACAAATAATTATAATGTGATGAATGCTATTATATCAAATGATCTAATGAAAGGACACTACTATTAGACTATATTATTAAAATATTTATATTTTAAATATAAATAATCACTTGAAGAAAAGGAAGATGTGTTTTATTGTTAAGCATCTTGTTTTAAAGATCTAGAAAACTGAATTCAGAAAGGTTAGAAACTAAGAAACCAAAGAGATGACTTAAAACTCAAAATTATATAGTATCTTGAACTTGTTTTTTGTATGGGTTTGAGATATATACATATATAAATGGCCTAAGGCATTTGACTGTTAACCAGAAGGTTGGCAGTTCAAACTCACAAGCCACTGTATGAAAGAAGACGGGGCAATCTACTTCCATAAAGATTTAATGCCTTGGAAAACCAACGAGGTCACTATGAGTCTGGCAGTGGGATATATATATTTATACATATGTCTATAAATTATTATGTTTTAAAAAAACTAATTCCTGATTTACATTTTCCTTATTTTATATAGAAGACAGTAAAGGGAAGACTTTGCAGCTGGGCAGATTTGGACTACAATTTAGTTTCTGCTATTCTTATAGGCTTTTGTAATAGAGCTAAATTTCTTCAACTAAGCATCTGATTTCTAATCCATAAAATGGGGTGACTACCACCTATTTCACTGTGTTATAGTTAAGAATTAAGTGCAAACAGGGCAATAAGGCAAGAACAAGAAATAAAAGGCATCCAAATTGGCAAAAAGTAAAGCTGTCTCTATTCACAGATGACATGGTCCTATACACACAAAACCCAAGAGACTCAGCAAAACAAAAATTACTAGAACTAACAGAAAGGTTCAGCAAAGTGCCTGGATACAAGGTCAACATACAAAAATCAGTTGAATTCCTCTACATCAACAAAGATGACTCTGAAAAGGAAATAAGGAAAACAATACCACTTATGACAGCTACTAAAAAAATAAAATACTTAGGAATAAATCTTACCAGGGACACAAAAGACCTACACAAACAAAACTACAGAGCACTATTATATAAGAAACTACAAGGGATGTACATAAGTGGAAGAAAATACCTTGTTCATAGATGGGAAGACTGAATATTGTGAAAATGTCAATACTACCCAAAGCAATCTACAGTGCAATCCTGATCCAGATTCCATCAACATTTTTTAAGAACACAGAAAAACCAATCACTAATTTCATATAGAAAGAAAAGAGACCTCAGATAAGCAAAGTGGTGCTGAAGAAGAAAAACAAAGCAGGAGGTCTCACACTCCTGGACCTCAAAACCTACTATACAACCACAGAAGTCAAAACAGCATGGTATTGGTATAATGATAGAGAGATAGACTAATGGAACAGAATTGAATACACAGAAATAGACTCATCCATCTATGGACAAGCTGATCTTTGACAAAGGCCCAAAATCCATTAATGGGGGAGAGATAGCCTCTTTAAAAAATGGTGCCAGCAAAACTGGATATCCTCTTGTAGAAAAATGAAACAAGACCCATATCTCACCCCATACACAAAAGCAAACTCAAGTTGGATCATAGACTTAAATGTAAAACAGAAGGACAAATATTGTATGAGCCCACTATTATAAAAAGTCAAGGAAAGGTTTATTCAGGAAAGGAAACTCATTTTGTTGGTTGCCAGAGATGGGAGGGAAAATCTCGGACTATTTGGGGGTCACATGTTGATTTGGGTGAGGGGAGGAATGGTACGGAAAGAGCCTGTGACCAGCATGGTGACACTGGGGAAAGGAAAGACACGGAAATGTATGCAAAAGATACAGACAACAGAGGCAAACACTATTACATGTACAATACTGCAGTATTACTAGCACCAAATACCTGGCTACAGATTAATACATAGACAGATGAGAGGAGCAGGTGGGGGTAGGTGAATAGGAATACACCCTAGACCAAGGGTATATTTGGCTGAAGGTGATCTTACATATGAACTTGTGCTACAAAATTAGCCATACACATTACAGAAGCAACATAAGACAGAGTTGGAATAACTTCTCAGAGACAACCAAACATCTTGTGAGAGTGAATCACCAGGCCTGCAGGCTTGGGACCATAGTCTCAGGGGACATCATGCTCAATTGGCACACATACACAGTTCATAAATATTTTGTTCTACAACCTACTTTGGTGAATAGTGACTAGGGTCTTAAAAGCTTTCGAGCAGCCATCTGAGCTATAACTATTGGTTTCCTCTTGTCTAGAGCAAACAAGAGTGAAGAAAATCAAAGTCATCTGGAAGCAATTAGTCCAAAGATAAGACAGACCACAAGGACCTTAGCCTCCATGACTCCGAGACCAGAAGAACTAGATGGTGCCTGGCTACCAACACCAACTGATCAGAAAGGGATCAAATCTGGAGATCCTGGATAGAGTAGGAGGAAAAATGTGGGACAAATTCAAAAATACAAAAATGACCAGAATCACTGGTCAAAAAGAGACTGGTGGAACCCACGCAACTATGGTGTCAGGTTACCCTTCGAGGCTGGAAATGGACTCACTTACATGGATTGGCTCTCAGCCCAACAGTGGAAAGACATATATACAGAACACTTACCCCAGGTCAATGCACCCACCTACTCAAGGGAGATGCACCCTTGGATCAATCAGCCATGAGACACCAGAGGGGCAGAATAACAAAAAGGGAAAGCCAGACATACAGGAATGCATAGATAAGAAGGGTACAGGGAGGGGGTGGTCACAGGGAGGAGAGGGGAGGAGAGTTTTTTTATGGTGGGGTTCCGTCACTGGGGCCATGAAATCAGATGTGCGTGAACTGTTGAATGTAAAACAAGTTTGCTTTGTAAATTTGCACCCAAAACACAATTAAAAAAAAAAAAAGTTATGTGCAAAGACATTCGTAAACTATATGATGGAGTAGCTGAGAGTTGCTTAAAATTAACCTGTTGCTTTGATTCTAGTACATGTCCCTGTTGGAACAGGCCAATCTTCTATCCCTAGATCACTGCCTTAATGAGACACTATGACTGATAAGAGTATTCTCTCCCTGAGTTGTGTAGGCAAAGGATGGAGACAGCGGGGAACAGAAGAAACAACACTTAAGAAGAAATACCAATTCTATTACAAGAACAGGTCCTTAATTTTTTGTGAACTCCTTCTCTTTAACCATCTACCTCCTCAGTATTCCAATACTTTTATTCTTTACTGTTATCAACAATATTGAAATACTAAACAATTTACTGAAAATTTAAGTCTAAATCTTTCCCCCTTAAAAAAAAAAGCTCTTCTGCCCTTCTAAAGGGAGCTCTGGTGGGGTGTAGTGCCTAAGGCATTTGACTGCTAACCAGAAGGCTGGCGGTTCAAACCCACAAGCCACTCCTTGGAAGGAAGACTGGGCAATCTACTTCCATAGTGATAATTCATCAAATTTGTGACTTTACTTACCTCTATAGTTAAGTGCTCACCTCTTGAGCATGTTCTAAAATACTTGGATCTGGAAAGAAAAACAGAAAAACATTAACTTTTAAAATCACAACGCTAAAACAATTAACATAGTGGCATAAGAACATTTCCTCAAGAGCAACTTTAAATTCTCTGACATATACTCACTGCCATCGAGTTGATTCTGACTCATAGTGACCCCCATTGGGTTTCCAAGGCAGTAAATCTTTACAGAAGTACATTGCCTCACCTTTCTTCCATGGAACTGGTGGTGGGTTTGAACCACCAGCCTTCTGGTTAGCAGTCAAATGCCTTAGGCACCATGCCACCAGAGCTCCTAACATTTAGTATCTTTTATTTACACAAAGGACTACTAAATTTATGTAAAAATTTAAATAATCCAGATTTTAAAACTTAGAGTTATGATTTTTAAACAGTATTTAGTTAACCAGCATTTCTTTCTATTGGTATTAATATACACTAAACCTATAATAAATTAGTTTGCTATATACACCACATAGAATAAAATTAATTTTTCAATTTATCTCCTTTTTACTGTATCAAGAAACTAGCTTGCTAAAATATTTAAATATTAAATAATGTACAATAAAAATATGTTCCCAATTTTGCTAAACATACACCAAACAAAAACAATCTGAAAGGACATATGCCAACATGTGAAGAGTGGTTATCTCTGGATGGTGGGACCATACGTCTTTACATAAAGCTAGGTGTTCTTTATCTTCTCCTGATGTCCCACCCACAAATAAAAAAGAAAATCCACAACACATCACCCAAATAATCAATTATGTTAACTTTTCCAACTAGGATCAAATATTGACTTTAACTTTAATCATTCTCTTCTGCTTGTTGTTGTTGTTGTTGTTATGTGCCGTCGAGTCGGCCCCAACTCATAGCAACCCCTCCTTGGGTTTCCGAGGCAGTATCACTATGGAAGTAGGATTGCCCAACCTTCCTTCCGAGGAGTGGCTGGTGGGTTTGAACCGTCAGCCTTCTGGTTAGCAGTCAAGTGCCGTAGGCACTATGCTACCAGAGCTCCCTCTCTTCTGCTTACATATAGTCAAATATCATCTTCTCTATTGTGTCTGCTCCAAAGACATGTCCACACTCTAACTTCTGCAATATTAAAGTTGGTATGGGACAGAGCTACTCAGACTCCTTTGCCCCTGAAATACCAAGAGATATAATACTTTCACCATAATGTGATTCTTATGTTAATAGCTGCCAGAATTGACAGAGAGCTCTGCCTCACCCTAATGGGGATCCTAAATCACACTGAGGGTTCCTACTGTGTCAGAATTCTTGAATAGAAAGCACCCTTTTAAATCCTGAAATAAGAACAGGTCAGAATGCTTTGTGAGTTGTGTTTGTGTGTGTATGTGTGTTTGTGTGTGTGTGTGAGGGCTGTTTAGCGAACGAGAACACCATGTTAGCACTACTGAAGAATAAAAAGAGCAATGAAATTATAGGTACTATTTTTGTTGCCACTATCTTTAATTGCTGACAGAATAAAAGAAGTTTTACTGCCCATTAAGAGATCATTGGTGAAAAGCAGAGGGTTTGGTATTCAATGTCATTCCAGGGACCTAATCATTCATGGGCTAAAAACAACAACAACAACAACAAAAAAAAAAACTAACTGCCATTGAGTTGATTTCAACATATAGTGACCCTTCCTTGGGTTTCCTAGGCAGTGGCATATGACTGCTAACCAGAAGGCTGGCGGTTCAAACCCACCAGTCATTCCTCAGAAGTAAGGTTGGGCAACCTACTTCTGTAGTGATACCACCTTGGATACCCAAGGAGGGGTCGCTATGAGTCGGATCTGACTCAACAACAGTGCGTTTGGTTTTTGTTTGGTATCACTATGGAAGTAGATCTCCCCATCTACTAGGAGTGGCTAGTGGGTTTGAACTGCCAGCCTCTGGTTAGCAGTCAAATGCCTTAGGCACTACACAACCAAAGTTCACATTCATGGGCTACTTCTAACAAAAACCTAACACCCTTAATTCCCTAACCATCTAGTACCCCTACTCTATCCTCTCTTCTGCATTTCTCAAACAAAAACAAGAAGTTGAGCCTTTGAGTAGCACAATGTTGTGGCCTTAGCATTCCTGCTTAAAGTGCTATATGCTTCTTTCTCTGTAACTATCATTTTTTCCCTGAATGAAGAATCTGTCTCTGACTAATCCATTTTCCCTTCCAGGCTTACAGGATGGTATAACTGAATAATGAAATAGCATTCAGTAATACTAAGTGAAACATCTTAATGTAAACCATCAGTATGACTTCATTGCTGAAGTGAAGCCTAAAGCTAAGTAGCACAATGTCCAAATCAAGAGAAATAAATGTTACACTACTTATATTAGACCACAGAACACAGTACTGTGCCAATTGTACATAGAGCTATGGCTACCTTTAATAAAAGCTCAAGGAATTGTCTGTTGTAAATGTCCCCCTTTTCCTGGGAACTGTTCTTTTGATCCACATCAAGCTATAGTGAAGATAATCATATTCTTGCGTGATTCTGACTTCCCGACTCTGTATGTGACCAAGCTAGATCACAGCCATAGACTCATTTGATTGGCTCTGGGTTAAATGGAAACTGAGTTGAGAGAGACAATATCTTCCTGAGAGCTCCAGGGCATTGGTAGGTATTATGCTTCCTGATGATCTGCAATGAGAGGAATGAAGTCAATCAAGAGAGTGCCCTGATAGCACTGAAGTCATTCCTAAGGACCAGTTGCATTCCTGCCTTGACTGTGGTTTGGCATGATTTGAGAAACTCAATATCCTTATAATAAATTCTCCTTTTAGTCCAAATCCAAAAAGCCAAATGCACTGCCATTGAGTCAATTCTGACTCATGGTGATGCCCACTGGGTTTCCAAGGCTGAAAATCTTTACAGAAGCAAACTGCCTTATGTTTCTTTTGCAGATGCTGGTAGGCTTGAACCACAGATCTGTTGGTTAGCAGCAAAATACCTTAATCACTACACCACCGAGCTCCTCCCTTTAGCCTAAAATAGTTTAGTTTGAGTTTCTGTTTCACAGCTAGTCTTGGCTAATAAATAAACCTAAGTCTAAGTGATACAATGACCAAAGAGTATATTAAGAAATAGCAATAAACAATTAAAATTGAGAATTAAAGGAAAAGTAAACAGAGAAGAAAAATAAGTTTGGGAAAAATTTAAGCTTTCCTTTTACGACAGATTAGATTGAGACCTCATCATTCACAAAAGGCATGTATTGATTCCTATTACCATAAAACCTAAGATTATATTGATAGATTAAAGTAAATACTGAATTTGGCAAATGCAGAAGCCACATTTTCATCAGTGGAGCTTTATCCTGGGATTTATCTGAAAAGAAGTCAAGAAATATTGATATATATTTTTAAAAGTAATTAGAAACCCAACTGCTTGAAAGTACCATTTCAGGTGAGCGAGCTCTCCATTACATTAAGTAGTAACTGAAAACAAATTAAAGATGATAATCTTTTATTACTGCATGCTTAAAGGCCCAACAAATTTGGAATACATTTTTTTTTCAGTATTTCCTGTTACAAGCTGTCCATGATATTTTGTATTTTCTACCTCACAGTTTTGTTCTAGAGGAAGACTACTGGCAATCATTTCACTACTCCTTTCTAGGTAAAGACGAGAATCCAAGGGAAGAGTAAGTGGAGCAATTGGAAAAAGGAAAGGAGATGCTTAACTATTAAATGTAGCCTCAAGTTTTTACAGTTTTATTTCATAAATATTTATCAAGTGCCTACTAAGTGACTGGCACTGGAAATGTCCTAGGTGCTGGAGATACAAGTACTACATTTCTGGGGTATGAATGACAATGAACAAAGTGATAAATACATCAGGTGGTAGGAACTGCTATGAAGAAAAATATCTGAGTCAACTGAGAACAGGTGACTGGGGGAGGGAGGTTATTTTATTTAGGGTAGTCAGGGAAGGCCTTTCTGTTAAAGCAACATCAGAACTAAGACCCCAAGGAAATGAGGAAGTAAGCCACACAGATGTCTGGAGGAAAAATATTCTAAGCAGAAGAGAAGCAAATTTAGTGGTAAATTGTGCTTGGAACATTCTGGTAAGTGGGTAGAATCACTGGAGTGATGAAGAAGAAAGGGAGATGAGGTCTAAGAGGTATCCAGCGCAGTCCATGAAAAGGATTTTGGATTTCGTTCACAACTAGGTAAGAAGTCATAAAAGAGATTTTTGTCTTTGGCATTCTTTCTTTTCATATTTTAAAATTTTCAAATATGCTCAAAAGTACAGCAAAGGCTATCACAGACTTCCTTTACCCATCTACCCAGCTTAAAATCTTAACACTTTCTAAATCTTATTTTATTTTTACCACCTCTAGCCCCACTCCCCGGACCTTACAACTGGACCAATGGGCAACATCATGATAAATGGAGAAAAGATTAAAGTTGTCAAGGATTTTAATTTTACTTGGGTCCACAATCAACACATATGGAAGCAACAGTCAAGAAATCAAATGATCTATCTATTGCACTGGGCAAATCTTTTGCAAAAAACCTCTTTAAAGTATTAAAGTGCAAAGATGTCACTCTGAAGACTAAGGTGCACCTGACCCAAGTCATGGTATTTTCAATTGCCTCATATGTACGTGAGAGCTGGACAATGAGTAAGGAAGATGGAAGAAGAATTAATGCATTTGAATTGTGGTGTTGGTGAAGATCAATCAATATGTTGTGGACTGCCAGAAGAACGAACAAATCTGCCTTGGAAGAACTAAAGCCAGAAAACGCTCCTGAGAAGCGAGGATGGCCGGACTTCATCTGTCGTACTGTAGTCATGTTGTCAAGAGGGACCAGCCCCTGGAGAAGGATATCATGGTTGGTAAAGTAAAGGGTCAGTGTAAAAGGGGAAGACCCGCAACAAGATGGATTGACACAGTGGCTGCAATGATGGCTCAAGCATAGCAACAACAGCGAGGACAATGCAGAGCCAGACAGTGTTTTGTTCTGTTGCATACAGGGCACTGTAAGTCAAAA